GAGGTGGTGATGTGCAACGAGATCTTCGAGCCCCTGGTGGAGGGCCAGAAGCTGCCGGTGGACGAGGACGGCAAGATCACCGGCATGGCGCGGTGCATCTTCGCGACCGGCGAGGTCTATGAGGGGGACTTCGTGAGGAACGAGATGGAGGGACGCGGAAAATACAGCTTCCCGTGCGGCGAGACCTACGAGGGTCAATATCATCAAGGCCAGCGCCACGGGACCGGAAGAACCACCTACCCGAGCGGCAACACGCATGAAGGAGAATATGCCCACGGCAAGAGGCACGGGCGAGGCATCTATCGGTGGGCCGATGGCCTCGTTGGTGCTGTGGTGCTTGACCAGGACAAGTTGAAGGGCACGTGGGTGCGACGCACCGCGGCCGGAACCTTCGAGAAGTTCCTGGATGATAAGATGGTCAAAGAGGTGTCCGAGACAGAGGCCAAGAAGATCATCCAAGAACACCGGCTTCATGCCCCGTGGTGAAGATCTTTGCGATTGCGAGCTGCAGGGAACCCTTCACCCAGCCTCTCTGATTGTGCCACGGATAAGCGCTGTCTCTTTTTTTCTTCCTAAGCTGACCCAGTTGCTGGGCGCCTCACAAGCCTTCCACTTTCAAGAAGTCTGAAGCGACGGAGGCGACCAGCGGCTGAAAGCGACAATAAGTCGCAGAAGAAAAGCGGTGCCGTCAGCAGCCAGCAGTGACAGGTAAATTTTTGTGGAAGTCACCGACAGGAGGGGACGTAACGCGACCACCACCATGCCAAAAAGATCATCCCACATGGTCAACACCGTGAAATCGCTGTGTGCGTTTTTTCCTCGTTTCTTTGCTCACAGGTCCCCTGACGCGGCGTGCTTGCTCAGGCGTGGAGTGCAGGGGTGCAGTGTGGGATCGTGGAAGGGGGCGCCCAGCGGCGGCCGAAAAGCGACAACCAGTCACTTACCCTGATGAGAAGAAAAGCGGCGCCGCCAATGGCCAGCAGCGACAGTAAGGACGCAACACGACCATCACCGCCATAAGCATACCCATCAAAGGTGTGTTGGTTGACGGCCACAACCCAATCCATGTGCGACCATGTGCGACCTTCTCTTCATGACTCATGACGATCGATGAGAATTGTATTAACATGTATTAACTTGCTTCTTTTGGGATTGAACCGGATGAAAAACCTACAGAGGTTAAGTGACCGTAAATAGGACCCTACAGGAGTACCTATAGGATAGTCTTTAGGGTTCTGACCCACCTCTGCTGGAAGCAGGGGGGGGAAGGGACCAACCTCCACGCTGTCTCTCAGCGGAGTCTTCCACCCTTCCCTACCGCTGGAGACATGGCGTTGGGTCCGTCCGTCGGGGTCGGTCCCCCTCAGGCCGCGTGGTTCGTGGCTCGTGGCTGGCTTCGCCGAGGAGCCCAGGAAGCGGAGGCGCCCAGGAAGCGGTGCATGCGGAGCGACGTGCTTTCGGTGGTGCCACGCGGAAAACTGCGCTGAACGGGGATGAACAGGGATGAAAACTGCGCTGGAGGAGGATGGAAATACCTCTTGAAGATGCGGAATTCGGCGCTGGACATGGCCGAATGCTTCGTTTTTTTGAGGACCATTTTCAGACGCTTGTTGCTTGGGGGAAGGAAGAAGGATGAAGAAGGTGTTTGATGGTCTTGGCTTTTCTCCTTATAAACCACGACCGTGGCTGCCGAAAGCCCAACGACCAAACGGGCCTCGTGAAGAATTCGCCGGGGGACTCGACCCCCTTTCGACCGGTCGAAACACGCGTCGAAGGTCTCCGCCAAATGGGATGTCGAAGAACCAACAGAGGTTGAAGGACCCGAACTAGCCTATCCCATAGTTACCCCAGTAAGGTCCTATAAGGTCACTTAACCTCTCTTGGAAGGGCAGCTTTTCGAAGCATGTCGA